AAATATTTTTTTACTTATTTAATTATTAATTTTTACATATGAAACAATATTAAAAATAATATATATATATATATATATATATAACGTTATATATAGAATAACCACACATATACTTGTTATCAATAATTATAAAGTACCTAACTAATTCCAAACAATATTCAACTGGCGTTTGTTTTTTAATCACACTTGAATATTTTAAAATTTGTAATGATACATTTTGTTTTAAACAAAAATTTCTATTCAAAATTGATATTTGTGTAATAAACATGTTGAACAAATATACTATGTTAGATAAAATTTAAATAACAATATTTAATATTTAATATAGCAAAAATAAGTAAATAATAATTATCAATTATTAATAATTAAATATATAACATAATTATTATAACAGTAGTATTAAGATTAATATAGTATATCTTAGAATATACTATAAATTCTAATTAATATTGTTTGAATTTCATTATATTAGTATAATTAAAATAAATCATTATATTGCATCTATTTATGTATAAATTTTAATAAAATATAATAATTTAAGATAAATAATATAAGTGATTATTGGAAATAAACACATTCGAAACATTAACCTCTATAAATAGCTTAAATACTAATAAGTTGCAAATTTATGATAAATAATTAAATTATTAAATTAAAATAATTTTCAATGATTGTATCATTATAAAAAATTTTATAATTTATATTTTTTAAATTATACATATACTTAAAAAAAATTTTTTAAAAATATTATTACTTCTACTTTTTAAATTTGTTTCTATATAATTGTATTCTATATAATTTATAATTTTAATAATTTTGTATTCTTAATTTTTATTTAAATAGAATTTCAATTAAAAAACAAAAACTAATATACAAATATAATATACATTAATATATATATGTTTTAATAACTTTTTAATTATATGTTTTATATATGATATTAAATACATAATTTATTAACAAAAAATTAATATTTACACGAATTGAAGTACAATAAAATATTATATAATTTCATATATTGTATGAAATTATTTCATATAATTTGATTAAACTTTTATACAGATTAATAGATAATTTTTAATTACTTGAAAAAATCATTATTTAAATTATTTAATAGCTTTTCATTAATAAAGTTTAATTATAAATATCCCATAATGCAATATATCCATCTTTTGCAGCTGTAGCCATTATACATTTGTTATCATATACTTTTATTCCTTGTATAGAATAATTAATATCTTGTACAGTATCTTTATGTTGAGTTAAAACAGCTAATGGTTTTAAACTTTTCCAAGAAAATATTCTAACTCGACTATCCCATCCACCAACAGCCATAATTTTAGCATCAGGTCTAATTGTTATTATAGAAGTACCAGGATTTGTTATAGTTATTTTATTTTTATTATTTAATAAATGATTAACTGATAATGTAAATATCTAAAAATTAAAAATTTATATCATTATATGTAAATTTATATCAGTTCTAATTTTTAATTAATTCATTTTTTATATTCATTTTATATTTATTTTTAATTTTTACCTGTAAATTGTCAGAAGGACCAGCAATAACTCCTTTCATTAAAGTAGTATCAAAATCTAAAGTCATTGGACATGTTTCTACAGTTAAAGAATTTAATATTTTATTTTGTCGAACATCCCATAGGATTAATTTTCCTATTTCATAAGCAATTAAAACTAATTTTTCATTTTTTAGTGGTTTAATAGCCATTATTTCTCCTAGATTTTGAAAATTTGAAGTATTCAATTTCAATTCTATATTAAAAGTAATTGAAGATAAAATTCCAACAGTGGATTCTTTAAGTGGTATAAATATTTCATTATCAGAAAATACTTGAAACCTGTTGTGAATATATTAAATTAATATCAATTAAATTAACAAAAATCAATAAAAAATTTTAATATAATTTATTTTATTTAAGAAATAATTCTATTAAAAAAATTTAGTTAGTTTTTTACAAGGCTATTAAAGATTTTACATATATGTATATATACATATATACCTGCAATAATGATAAAAATCTATATTCATTGATTTATGTATGATCCACTGAGCTTCTGTTTTCTTATATACTTTTAATAAACCAGATTTATGTTGTACAAATAAGTTGCCATTGTTTAAATTTTGTAAATTTAAGCAGGAATCCTGATTTGATGTAATTTGATATAATTCTCTATTTGTCTTTAATATAAAAAAATTATAAATAATTAAAATTTTAATAATTATAAAATTATTTAAAAAATTATATATATGTT